TCTCCTCCGTGATTTTTGCCAAAGGTTCGGCCTCCACCCATTTTGTGAAATAGTCTACTGCCACGATTAAGAACTTCCTCTGCCCAGTTCCTTGCGGCATCGGCCCCACCAAGTCAACCGCCCACTGGGCGAATGGTATAGGGGCACTCATCGTCGTCATCATTTCTGCCGGTTGGTGAATAAGTGGACTATGCTTCTGGCATTGTAAGCACTTCTTCACAATCATTTTCGCGTCCTCTTTCCTTGCCGGCCAGAAGTATCCTACCCTCAGAATTTTTGCAACCAAGGCTCCAGATTTGCTATGATCACTGCAGCATCCTTCATGCATTTCTCTCAATACATATCGACCTTCCTCCTTGGTTACGCAGCGTAAGTGTGGTCCAACATACGACCGCTTGTAAATAATTCCTCTTTGCTCGAAAAATCTCCTTACCACCTTTATTGCCCCTTTTTTCAGCTCCTCTAAGATCGGGGCTCTCCAATCCTCCACCTCTTCAATTTCTGCCACTTCCGCCTCGACCTCACTCCTCTCCAAGTGTAATAGAGTGACACTTCTACTCCGACAGTCCACCAAGATTTGAGCAATTTTCGCTAGCAGGTCCGCTCGACCATTCTCTCCTCGAGGGATCTGTATGAGCTCGAACGACTCAAATTCCTCTTTTAATTTCTTCATCTCGTCTACATACTCTGCATTCGATCCTCCTTAACCTCAAGTCCCTCCTGGAACTGCCCGACTACCAATTGGGAATCGGAATGTACCAACACTTTTCGAGCTCCTCCCTCCATAGCTAACCGCAGGCCTTTGATCACCGCCTCATACTCAGCCTCATTATTAGATATTTTAAACCCCATTTTGGCCGCAAACTCCAAATTACCGCCCTTAGGAGAAACAAGGACAATTCCTAATCCAGCCCCACATCTGGCCACAGACCCATCCGCAAATAACTGCCACACTCCTCCAGACTCCTCCTCGACCTTAGTGCCTTCTTGAATAAAATCTGCCAACACCTGCGCCTTTATGGCCCTCCTCAGCTCTCTCCGTCATCTCATTCTTCATCCCTATCACTCCTTTCCTCCGAATCATCCCGACACCTTCTCCTTCCTTTCCCTTTCGCCCTATCATGATATACAAACTCTTTCAAATGTCCTGCTTGAATCAACCTTTTAATCTCATCCTTCAAATGCCTGTAGTTCTCCGTGGTATGGCCATAATCTCGGTGAAATCGACAATATATATCCGATCTGGGTCGAATCGGGCCTGTGAACCTTGTCTTCGGCCACGTCACATCCTCGGCCGACATCTTTTGCTCCATCGCTTCGAGTACTTCTGTCAAGTCGTTCCTTAGAGGTGTAAAAGTGTGATACCTCTGTCTTTCGGACGTCAATGGCCTTCCCTGCCATCTGTCGTCCCTCTTCTCTTACTTCGACTCCCGACCTTCCCTCCTTGGTGATATCTTCATCGACCCACCTCTCTTGGGAGAACTCCTCCTTGGTGACCTCCCTCTCGGTGGACTCTGCTCCTTCTTTAGCTCTGGTTGAGTCGCTCCCTCCAACTTTGCGAACTCTATCTCCATTTCCTCCAAATTAATATACTTCCTACAACGCTTCAAGACATCCTCATATGATCGAGCAGGTGTCTTTGCCAGGGAAGTTCGGCAAGGCCCTGCTCGAAGACTCCTTATCAATCCTCCCGCCTTCACCTCATCCGAAGCCGAGTGCACCTCTAAACACGTTTTATTATATCGAGCAACATACTTCCTCAATGACTCCTTCTCTTCCTGTCTCATTTCCATCAATGTCAAATACGTTTTCTCCTGCGCCACCGCGCTCGAATATTGATTAGTAAGCTTGCTGGCAAGTCCTCAAAATTCGCAATCGACCCCGAGGGTAACTGATGAAACCAGTCAAGTGCTCCCCCGCGCAAGGTCGATAGAAACACCCTGCAACAAACAGAATCAGAATATCCATGTAGCACAACCATATTTTCAGAGGTCCTCACATGCCTCGACGCGTCAGACGACCCATCATAGACCAAGTTGGTCTCCTTGAAATTATTCGGCAAAGGAGCAGCGAGAATCTCCCTCGAGAAGGGATGTCCTCTAGCTCTCCTCTCTGGCCTCCCCTCCACCTTGTCCTATAACTGGCGCAACTGCTCCGCCATCCTTTCCATCGCCCGATCTCTTCCAACTCCTCCCTCTCCATAACTGGACACATCC